TAAATATATATGTTTAATATATGCGTATAAAATTATTTAAAATTTTTATAAAAATTAAATACTGTGTATAAATTAAAAAAAAAAAAAAAAAAATAAATAAATAATTATAATAATAAAATAATAAATATAAAAAAATAATAATAAAAAAATAATATAAAAAAAAAATAATAATAATAAAACTAATAATAAATAAATAAAAATACTAATTCAATAAATTTATAAACCTTAAAATTTACTTTTTCTTCATAAGAAATTGATACTTTTATATCTTATAAACATGTTTATTTGTAAGAAGAATACTCCCAGTTTCAAACATATGTACATACATACATCTAATGAGCTCATCAATTTCAAATCTGTTCATACTGAAAACATTCCAAATTTCACAGATCTCATTCGTTCACAAATGCTGTCGATAGAATTTGCATTGTCATAACTATGGGAAATCCAATATACCTCTACCTGTGCACAAATCTACGCTCCATTTAGCACTAAACACAAACGCGTCGCCCTCCACCCAGCCCCCCATACCCCTGAAGCAGCACACTTCAAAATTTGTAAATTCCGTACGGACAAGCTCATGGAAAACCCATTTGAAAAGCAACCAACCAGGAATATTATGCATTTCAGAAGAGGGGGATGCAGGCAGAGAGAGATGGAGAGAGAGAGAGAGAGAGAGGCGGATAGGAATGTACGTTCTACTCTCAAATAATCCAACCAACTATGCAGACGAGGGGGCACACACGCACGCATAGAGAGGGATGAGGGCTTAACGTTGAGAGTTCGGGGGTTTGGGGTTACTGGTTGAGGGTTACGTTGTGCATTATTTCATTAGCCATTTTCTAGTTTTAGCCATTTGCAATTTTAGTTCTGGCCATCGCAACGCATCGCAGTGCGCTTTTTCGCCCTTCGTTATTTGTTTCACGCTTAATTATCATTGTTCGCTGTCCTCTTGTCCTTAGCTCTCTGCTTCTGCTTCTTCTTCGTTTATTTGATGGTATGTGGGGAAATTTAATGGCAAACTCTGCTATTTACGAAGCACCTACACATCTAACATGAAAGAGCTGCAGGTACAACAAGCCGAATGGATCTTTTTAACTATCTAATTTTTAGGGATTTCAGCTGCGAATGCAGAG